ATGAACGCCGAGCTCGGAACTTCCCCAACCGGGCAACTGCGCGCTAAAGAATTCCGTGGCTTCGCAATGACAAAATGACACACTCCCGGGACTCAGATTCGTCGTGGGATCCAGAGTACTTCACCCCTTGGATAGAAGAGTGCCTCCGACAGAGGTTCCCCTGTTTAATCGAGAATCGACTGTGTCCTAAGGAGTTTCATTGTGCCATAACCAGCGATCCGCGGTACCCTGATTTCCCCACTTTTGACCACACGCACTACTTTATTTCCTTCGGTTTCGTTGTTATCCCCACTAACTTCCCTCCCTTCCGTCTTCTTCTCCCGTATCATCAACTCACGGCCATCCCGTGGAATGCCATAGCCCCATACTGGCCCCGCACCCCTTGCGGAAATTGTCGGCGTCACGGCAATCGACGAGCCCTGGAAACCAGAGGGCCTAACCCAAATATGAGACGACAGCCGCCACGTGGCTGCCCCCAAAGGCCCGACTCATCGGAATCACAGCCCTTCCGGGCAGACCTAGCCCTGAACCGCCGCCCCCAAAACACACGAAGCGGACGACCTTGAATACACCACGCATGCCATCCGCCTTATGCTGCACGACATCGACGCTAGCAGACCGGAGCGAACTTGCCCTCAGCCTTATTGCGCCCGTGCCCCTAGAACCTTGCCACCGGAGATCTCAGTTCTGACCTGGGACTCCACCCCCACTTTCCCAAAAATCCTTGGCACACCCCTTTTCGCACTTCCAGGCCCACATTCTACTCCGATCAGGAAGTCGTGCTGGGCGTGAGGTTGGGCGTCACAATATGTCTACCCATCCGGGGGTCCGGATCATAGCCAACAGGGCAAATACCGTTGACCGCCTGACTGGCCTCTTCTATAAAGTGGTGTTTTGAGGGAGGCCCTTTCACTTGAACAATCGGAAGCTCGAATTCCGTCTCCGAGATTTTCTTTGTAAGTAGAAGGGGGCCCTGGTTTGAGGAAGAACAAATAAGAGGTACCAAAAAATTCTCTATTTTGTTCTTCTCGCTCCTCGAAGTGGTAGACATTGGTAATGTCCTGATTAGAGATTGCTTCACCCGCGGCGCAGGTGCTCATGGGCGAGACAAAATCGGCCAAGCCCAAAAACGGGACCAATACACACCGACCTGGCGGGGCACAGCGCGGCCGCGAGCGCTGCGCCCCGCTCGTGCGATCAAGCCAAGCGGCACTGGGCGGCAACCGCGGGGGAGCGGCGTGAAGTCATGCGGCGCTAGGAAGCGGCAAGCGGCAGCGCGACGTGGTGACGGGAGAGAGGGTTTGGGGTGGTGTGAGGTGGAGGGAGGGAGGGATGAACGGTGACGGGAGTGGTGTATCGCGCGTACAGGGTGGGTTGCTTGGTTTGCCAGCATCATCAGCGTTAAAAGTGAAGGAGAGAATGATGGATCGAGAGGACTGTGGGTTGGACAGGTAAGTGTATGCACGATGGTTTTTCTCCATGGATCTTCTTATTGGGTGGTGGTTATTGGGGATTTGCTTGGTGCCGCGATCTGCCTGCGTCACAGGCTGGCGGGGTCGAGATCAGGGAGGGGCGGTTGCTCTATGTGATTCGTGAGCGGCTTCGATGAAGTCTCCCTGTGATACGTGTTAGATGCCTCGTGCACCCCGTTTTGATGGGCAAGGACGTCGAGGGGTGCGAGGGCGATGGTTCCCGCGAGGTAGGGGTGACGTCACATGCGAGTGAAGGGGGAGAGGAGGGGAGAGGAGGAAAGGATTCATGGAGGTGCCTGTTCTTCGGTTGTTTAACATGACATACTCACCTTCGGCCGTTCTCGAGATTGATCCTTTAATCCTATCATTCTAATAAGTTTCATAATCCCTTAAAAATAAATCTCTGATGATTTTTTCTGATGGTGTTTTTTTTGATTTAAAGGGTTGATTGAAAGTTTTCTCTGCCGTAGTTTTTCTGATAGTAGATCTTGAGTGGTGGTTCTGTATATCCACTGATTGTCCCAGTTTGCGCAATAGATTGTCGTTTCAGATGTCTAGTACTTTCCGATTTGCTATCTTCGGTTTAGTGTTTCCTTTATGTTCTTAATTGTTTGTCGGTTTACTGTTTTCTTTTAGTAATTTCTGATTTACGGTCTGAGCGATTTCTTGAACCTGGGTTCGGGAAATCAGATTCGAAAGTCCGTGAGGACATCAAAATCAACTTCCTATTTGAAATTTCATAATAAATCAACTCGTAATTTGGAGTGATTTCCTAAATTGGATGCTACAATCTCAAAAGCCTCTTCTTCTTTTGATTTCTAATTGTACGTTTCGTGCGATTTCCAGTATTCCTAATTTCTTCTCTTAATCTCGTTTACATCTCCTTTTGATTCTTGTTTTAGGGTTTGAGCGATCTCCCTTATTTTCAATCCTTTCTCTTGATTTCGTTTTTAACAGAAGGCAGGTTTTCAGGTTTGTCCTTAGGGGACCATCTCAAATGGAGAGGGTTGGGATGGAGGCTGGGGGAACTACTACTCTGCGAGGATTAGCTTTTGGTGGGAACTGCTCGTTCTTGAGGGAGTGGTGGTTCACTAGGGGGTTGCCCCGAGCTGGGGTCAATAAGGGGAACGGGTCGCCCCTTGATGGAGGCAGCTCATGGACAAGAGGGGAGGTTTTTTTCGGATTTGAGGTTAGGGCAAATTTGGTTCTCTGCACGATGGAGAGGTGCTGCCCTCTCTTTTCCTCTCTTCATCGTGGGGTGAAGGGGTTACTGCGTTAGGGTTTCCTCGGGGGGCTTTTCCAACAGGGAGAAGGGTGGAAGAGGGGTTGGGGGACCGCCGTTCTGCAGGGACAGGCTTTTGGCGGGAACTGCTTTGTTTCTTAGAGAACGGTGGTCTGTTAGGTGCTTGTCCTGAGTTGGGGTCATTGAGGAGAAGGGGACTCCTCTCGACGGGGGCAGCTCAAGGACAGGAGGGCGAGGGATTTTGGTAAGAACAAGGGCAACGCTAACTCTCTCCATAGCGGAGAGGTACTGTCTACTCTTTCCCCTCGGTGTTGTGGAGAGAACAGGAGGGTAGTTCCAAAAAAAAAAAAAAATCATCTACCCCTTTCAGATGTTGTCAGTGGCATCTTGATTGGTTCTGAATTTTCAGTTTGGATAGTTTTCATTGTTTCAGCTTCTGTGTAAAAATTTGGATAGATTTCATTTTTCAATTGGAGTAGAGGATTTTAATTTTTCGTTCGGTTTTGGGAGGTGGTATTTCAGGTTGTCCGTCCCATATGGAGAGGGTTGGGATGGAGGTTGGGAAAACCACTACTCTGCGGGGATCGGCTTTTGGTGGGAACTGCTCATCCTTGAGGGAGTGGTGGTTCATTAGGGGGCTTGTCCGGAGCTCGGGGCAATAAGGGGAATGGGTCGCCCCTTGACGGGGGCAGTTCATGGACAAGAGGGAAGGGTAATTTCAAAGTTTTTCTTCTACTCCTGTTAGATGTCCTCAGAAGTATTTTGTTCCCATGCGGAGAGGTTTGGGATGGAGGTTGGGGGAACCACTATTCTGCTGGGACTGGCTTTTGGTGGGAACTGCTCGTTCTTGAGGGAGTGGTGGTTCGTTGAGGGGCTTGTCCTGAGCTGGGGTCAATAAGGGGAATGGGTCGCCCCTTGACGGGGGCAGTTCATGGACAAGAGGGAAGTTTTTGAGATTAGAAGGTAGGGCAAATCTGTTTCTCTGCATGATGGTCCATGTTTTTCTAAATGTTCTAAGTGCTTTATCATAGTTCTCAGTTTGTCCTCAGCCGAATGCCAGGTAAGGGCCCTGGTATCCTGAATCATTTTTCGTATCATTTGTATATTCCTATATGGGACGCTGGGCCCGGTTCCCAGCACGCGGAGCTCTTTGTCCCCATTTAAAAAAAAAAAAAAAAAAAAAAAAAAAAGAGATTGCTTCACCTCAGAAGCCTTCCCTTTGCTTTTTTAGGCCCTCCTGCCTGCCACTTCTGTTGAGTACGGTGCAGTTCTTGGGGCTCCTTTCTTCTGTTTTCTCGAAGGCGACTCGGGGCCAATTGATTCTCCTGGTACTTTAACGGCGGTCGGTCCAACTGGCACAGCTAGGAGGGGGTCCACCATCCGAACATCCTCGGCTTCCGTCCTGTCATCAGTTATTAAATATGCCTCTCCAGGTGGTGTTGGTTGGGGTTCCCCCCCTTCTTCTTCTGAGGGCGAATCGTTCAGATCAACCCCAGGGGAAGAGGGGGTACCATGGAGGCTAAACAAGGAGTTATCGTGTTTGGTAAAGAATCCAACGGGTTTTGGATTACTTGGGCTATCCTCTGTCAGTGTGATGATAGTTGCATAGCTAGAGGATGATGTGGGAGGGATAAGGGTAGAAACGGGGCGCCGAAAGGGTGGCGGAGATCTCTCTCTTTCGCGTTCTCTGTCTCTCAATCCGATCCTGGTCCTCTCACTTTCGCTGTCGGCATCTCTCTCCCTCGCCCTCTCTTTCCCTCTCTCTCTCTCTCTCTCAATCGCAATTTCCCTCTGTCTTTCCATCTCTCTCACTTTTTCGCCCTCCGGAGGTGGTCTCAAAAAGGTAATTTGAGACCACCTCCGGAGGTGGGGTACGCCCGCGGCCCCGCAGGCCGCTAACAGAAGGGTCACCGCTTGAAGCATTTGGGTAGCGAGCCTCTCCAGTGTGACCCGAAAAATGACTCAAAATTTGGGATTTTGGGTCTTTTGGTCCTCGTGTGAGTATGCCCTCAGGGCGGTCGCCGCACAGCAAACGAAACGAGAACGAAACGAGTGAATCTGCGGACGAAAGGTGACCAAATTCATTCGTTACTGTTTATAGCAAGCGCATGAAATGAACTTGTTCATTTTCTGTGGGAAGATGCATTCGTTTCGTTTTTCGTTTCGTGTGCCGCGCGGTGACGCCCTCATTGTTTGCGCTCTGTCTTCTCCGCACGGCGGGGAACTTGAAGGCATACCCGATCCCGATGCGGAGTCCCACGGAGAATCCTGGCACCAACTTCGCAGCGAACGACTCCATCAGTCAGTCAGCGTTTTCTTCGTCCTCCATCTTCCTACCGATAGCCTCGTCTTGCGGCATTGTCTCTTTTTTTCCCTCACCCTTCTATTCTTCAGCAAGCTGTGACTCCATCGCTCTGTGCGTCGCCGACATCTCCTGCCCTCTACAACAACCTCACCGAAGAGGGCTGCTGCATCGAGCAGGCACACACACACACACACACACCTGTCTCTTATACACATCTAGATGTGTATAAGAGACAGGAGAGAGAGAGAGAGAGAGAGAGAGAGAGAGAGAGAGAGAGAGAGAGAGAGAGAGAGAGATGCTCGCCGTGAGAAGCTCGGCAAAAGTAGGTGGCGCGCAGCTTGATTGCTGGCGGGGGGTTGAATCGGAGCGGAAATGTCGTTGGGAGGAGCGGGAGATCGGGAATCGCCACCATTTGGGAAAGGGGCAGCCACGCGAACCTTTACCTGATCCGAGCATCTGCCACGTGGCAGCGTCCTGGGCCTGCTGGCACCGGCCGCGATCCCGGTGGTCTTGTGAGACAATGGGCCTAGTTGCACCACTTGCTGTCCGGCAACATTTTGAATGCATCGGGGCAAATTCCATGGTCGGATTCATTCATAATGCTGGCAAATGGCGAGTGGTACAACTGGAGTCGATGGCTGCAGCGGCATTATCACCCCGAGAGAAACTGATGCTGCCACCCTCTGCTCTGCGCTGCAAACACTGCAGCTGTCCTCTGCTTAGGAAGAGAGAGAGAGAGGGTGGAGAGGAGAGATGTGGGGAGAGAGGGAGGGTAGTGAAAGGAGGCGGAGGAGGGGGATTGGGACGCCTGCATGCAAGTCGGATTGAGGAGAGGGCAGAGGGCGCTGCCACGTGGCAGGGGCCTCGAAAGGATCAGGGTACTCTGAGGACGATCTCCGAGTCGATACGAGGAATAGGGGGAAGAGTGGTGAGGGCAAGATCGGGACAGGGTGGTCTGAGGCTGTTGTTATCGAGCCACGTGACGTGTCATGATGGCGGGAAGAGAGGAGGATGGTCGGGATCCCACGGAGACGCCGTCTGGAAATCCTTCTCACTAACCAAGGCGGATTTTAATCGTGTGGTTGATTACGGATTGCTGACGTGGCAGGTGCGGAGGTGTGACACGTCAGCCAAGTGGGTGGCAGAAGCATCCCCCTCTGGCTGGTCCTGGTGGCGCCAAAATCGTCGAGCGGATGGCGGGAAAAAAAAGGAGGAGGATAAGAAACGCGCGGAAACCGACAAAGAAGTGGTGATGAGGCGAAAAGTGAAAGTGACACGTGTAGAGAGTGAGTTTATTATTATTTTTTTTTCTTTTCTTCCCCTATTTGCTTTCCCATTTCGGAAATTGATAACGGAGGTGAGCAGCAGTCAGCTTGCGTCGCCTCTTCCCCTGCATCCCTTGGAGGTGGAAACGACCCTTTTTTTTGTTTTTTGTTTATTGTTTGATTAATGAGACAGCGCCTACCTTTACGACCTCCCTGATTACCAGACCTGGAGGTCTGCTTGTTTTTTTTTTTTTTTTAATAATAATAATAATTATTATTGGAAGGGGATATCCCCACTATTTATTCCCTCCCCTCCCCCCCCCCCCCCCCCCCCCCCCCCCGGTTTTTTTAGCATGCAGATGTGCGCAGCATTCAGCCCAACGGATTAAACTCTCTTCTTCTTGTTTTTTTTTTGGGACTATTCTCTTTCCGGTTTTGTCGAAGTCACTGGTTGTCTGAGTGTCACAAGCGGGGTTGTGGAAATTTTGCTTAAAAAAAAAAGAAAAAAAAAAAGACTGCCAAGCCGCAAAGGACTAAACTCTCTCTCTTTTTTTTGGGACTACACTCTCTCCGGTTTTGTTGAAGTCACTTGTTGTCTGAGTTGGCATAAGCGGGGGTGTGGAAACTTTCTGAGTTGGCATAAGCGGGGGTGTGGAAACTTTTTCATCTCTTCTCTTTTATTTTTGCTTTTGCTTTTTTTTTTTTTTTTGGGTTCCGATATTGAACTTGATCAGACCAGATACACTTGTTCCTTTTTTTGTTCCTTTTTTCTTTTCTCGAATTTTGTTCCAATACTACTACTCGCGTATGGACGCATACATCGGAGCCTTTGTAAAAAAAAAAAAAAAAAAAAAAAAAA